TGCCGTGTAGATCATGTCTACTAGATAATAGCACTCATAACACTAGGGTTAGAGATATGACCGAAGGTGACTTGAGTAAGCCCATTGGTCTTATGATATTGATGACCACCAGTACCATCACCAGTTTGATGGCCACAAACCTTCAGAGGTTAGGTACCACCACCATCACCATTCCCAGTTAGATAACCACCGCCATTACCAGTTAGATAAACACCACCATTATCACCACCACCAGTTAAGTAGCCACCACCATTATCACTACCACCAGTCTCAGTATGATCGCCAGCGTTGTAGACGTCATGGACCGGATTGGATCTATAAGGTAGATCCTGATAAGGACCGCCTTGGCAGTGTGAGGGTTCAGAGCCACAAGACCGTGCCGACCGGGGGCACTGAAGGGGCGCTACTAACCCTAGATCGTGTCTAGGCTTTCGCTCATCGGTCTTACCTGTGGTCTCGTGGTAGATGTGACTAATTGAATACCCGTACTGACACGGTTGAAACTGGTTAGAACACGCAATAGTAGGCACAGAACATGGTATAGATTCGTCACTCATCAATCTTTCTGCCTTCCTCGGGCTCCCCTCTGTGGGGCCATCCGTAGGGGCTCGGATCGGTCTTAATGGCGAAGTCATGAGATGCTCGGCCTCGATAGAGTCAGGCTTATGCCCGATCTCAGAACATATTGCTGGTGGAGCAGGGTCGATGTTCACAATAGGTGTGGTAGATCCCTCATTGGGTCTACCTTGAATGGGGGGACTGGTAACACTCACTTCGTGGAGGAGCATTGGGTCAGGTGGACTAGATGTAGGTCCAACAGCGATAGCTCCAGAGACTTGACTTGGCTCTTCGGAGTTAAGGTCGCTGTTGATGGTCACGAAGGCACTCCTCATAGATGGGAGTCCTTCACGGAGCCTTGAGCTTGATGACGTCCCTTGTGAACTCTTCTCGACTAGATAGGCATCCCTTCGATCACGCTCCTTGATTCGGGCGACCGGGGGCTTGAGGCGGGTCTGGCTCTTGCCATAGGGACCCTTGGACGATGTCCTCGTAGCCCTCGAGCTCGTGGATGCACCCCCCTTGAGGATAGGGGGTATACCAACCAGGGATTGATCAGAGACGCCTTGGTCAGGAGGTTCAGTACAGCTAGATGGCTCTCTCTCTTGAGGGGCCTTGCTGTGAATGCGGTCGTCATCATGAGTTTGTGAGTTGGTTCGGGGTATTATCCCGGTAGAATGTGCAGGAGCGGGTGATGGAATCCTGTTACTAGGGGGAAGAGAAAAAGCACTAGATTCCTCTCTAGATCTCCCTCTGTGGACAGAACCGACAGAGGGGGATAACTTAGAACCAGAACGTAATTCCATAGACTCCTGAGGCTTAACGCAATGTACTAGAGCGTTGAGGGTATAACAGACCTATTGGTGTTAGGGTTAGTTACGAAAGAGATAGTTCCCGATACTATCTAGAAGATAGTCCTCACAGATCACTCAAAGATCACAATAAAGGCTCACAGAAAGGCTACACGAAGAAGCCGTAACGCTAGCCGTTTCACCCGTTTCAACTAGTGAATTTCGGGCGAGCGAGATTCACATCTTGCGCCACCGCGAAGCCGGCACAGCGCCTGTCTCGGACGAGCGACATCTGCGATGTGGTCATAATCACACTCACCCTGGTTCCTCCACTTTATTCAGTGCCAAGGGGAGATTGTAGAAACTTCCTACTAGGAAGTCCGGCATGTTCATAAAATAACTATCATGGTCAGAAGGTGATTCGAAACTTAGCATACATATCTCACACCTTCGACGAGTGATGGTTAGTTACCAATTCACTGAGCAGAAATATTGACTGACTTGAAACCTTCACCAAGTGTGTTCAAAACCACTTCTCCACATGTTAATGCTCATATGCGAACAAGGATCCCTTATACGCATCATTTCTGATTAGATCATATGTGCGCCTGGACGGGCAGTAGTAGTCCCTCCCACTGAAGTCCATTTCTGGCAATCTCCTTGGCCTACTGTCCAGCTTTATTCCATAATTCTTCAATCATAAGGCCGTACTGAGGGACTCAAGAATGAGTCACGTAGTCAACTCGAGAGCTGAGCATTTCGTCATCCACTTGAGTTTTCGTGCCATCGTCCTCTTTCCTGTCAACTTCAGCGTGGTTGTGTTGGTCATGAGGAGTGGTTTACAGTACTTGACACATGTATGGAAAATCAACAGGAAAATAACAAGATAGATTTCACAGAGGATTTCCCTTTAACTCCACGTAAGACCATCGACAGTGTTTGGGTATACTTCTGCTCCCCTCAGCTGTTCAGTTAAAGGACACAATTCCGAAAAAAAATTCCCAAAATTTCCTCAATGTCAAAGAAAAATTTGTAATTTTTTAGGGTTGAAAGTGTAACGAATTCCGAAAACTTCTCGAAAACTTCTCGAAAATTTCAAAGAAAAATTGGAAAATTTCTGAGTTTTTGCCAAATTATGCGATTTTGATGCAATACTTAACGACTCAGGCACGCAAGAAGCTCTAAGGAGAACTGGGATCAGACCTTTGAATTTGAAACCGAAACCTTTTCGAGAGTAACATGGGAAAACTTCTCGAAATTTTTCACTTCGCGTTTTATAAGGTTTCGAGTTAATGGTGACTCCGTGGAGTTTCAACGACTGCGATTCAACCACTACGAAACGAAACGGAAAGAGAAAATATGTCGGGTTTTGGCAGAACGAGCGGTAGGAAATTGGCAATTCCTTGTTGTTTACTAATAATTGGAGTTTCCGAGGTTTGTCAGTTTTTCGGCGATTTTTTTTCGGATTTTTTGTGTGTGTGAATGTGATGGTAGACAATAGGACAATAACAGGGTTAGTGACATTCGATTGAGTTTTCCTTTTTCTTATTGGACTCCTGCGCTGCCATTTAGTTCATGCAGACGAATCACTTGAAGTGTGGAATATATGTTCGCTTTCTTGAGCTGAGCTCACGTATTATAGAAATTCACACACGAATTCGGATAGCAGTGTACCCAGGAACTCATATTGTCACCAACACATGTGGTTGTCACGAAAATCAACACATGCGCATTTTTCCCATTCTGGTGTTTAGAAAATATAATAATCATCATTTTTCCACTCAGGCGGTTATGCGGGAACAGTCTCCTTTGACGAGCTCAGTCAACGCCAGTCAAGGTCTGCAGAATTTGCAAATGGTAGAGAGTCTTATAGCGAAGGAAGCTGCGAAGCTAGAAAAGGAGCTTAAGATTCAATCTAGGTATAGTTGAAGCATTTACGGTATCACAATAATTCGTTTAAATTCAGACAACATATGTCAGTGGAGCGGGAGAATCGTGAGCAACTCGAAAGGGAAAGTCAGCTTAAGCAGAAAGAGCGGTAGTGATTGTTGCGAACTCGCGTGTGTGTGTTGTTCATTAGAGATTC